GATGTTGCAGTATCTATGACAACCCAAACACACAGGATTTCAGAATTAGACATAGTAACTATAACTAATTACTCTTTTAAAGTAACGTGCCCAACATTGTTCATTCAGGAGTCATCATCAAATTATTAATAAATGATCAATAACTGCAGCTGGACTGTGTTTGTTCTCTCCATCAGATTCCTGTCAGCTCACAATCGACACAAACACAGTGAACAGAAAACTGAAACTGTCGGAGGACAACAGGAAGGTGACAGAGGTGGAGGAGCTTCAGTCGTATCCTGATCATCAAGACAGATTTGATTTGTGTCCTCAGCTGCTGTGTTGTGGTGGTCTGACTGGTTGCTGTTACTGGGAGGTTGAGAGGAGTGGAAGAGTTTATATATCAGTTAGTTACAAAAAAATCAGGAGGAAAGGAGACAGTGAAGACTGTTATTTTGGATGGAATGATCATTCCTGGAGTCTGAGCTGCTCTAAAGAAAATGGATATGCTGTTTATCACAATAAGAAGAAAACATTCAAATCCTCCTCCCCTGTCTCTAACAGAGTAGCAGTGTATGTGGACCATCCTGCTGGCATTCTGTCCTTCTACAGCGTCTCCTCTGACTCACTGATCCACCTCTTCACCTTCAACATCACATTCACTGAACCTCTTTATTCGGGATTTTGGATCAGTTCTGGTTCCTCAGTGTTTCTGTGTTGAGTCTAAAGAGTCTCTTCTTGTCAAAGAAACTCTCTCACTGTTGAAAAGATAGTTTGGCTCTCCAAGTCTGTCCTTTTCACTTAAAAACTTTTTCATATTCAGTCGGTTTCTTTCTAAATCTCCTAGAAAAGATTCCTTGTTAACTTTTTCCTCTTGCAGTCCTTTAAAGATGGAAGCTGGGATTATTCCAGGATCCAAAGGTTCGGTTCTGTTTCCACCCAAAGCTTCAATTAGGGTTTTTCCACCAATGAGCTTCCAGTGCTATACCAAGACTGCTGCTGAAGCTGGTTCTGTTCTCTGGTTCTCCTCTGGTTGTATTCTGGTTCTGTTCTGTTCTTTCCATCTCTTCCAGTAAATGTTTGATCCTGGCTCTTAATCTCACCATCAGTAGAACTTTGAACATTTCTATATCCAATCTTTTCCTGTTTTGTGCTTCTAATGTAGTTTTTCTTCCTGTGATCTGAACAGTTTTGTTCATTAGTCCCAGATAAACAGGCTGCCTCCTCAGGATCTGTTGGCTGTGAAGTTCAGGGTTAATGTAAGTGATTAGTGATGAAAAATGATGCAGTGAGTGGAGCTGCAGTTTGAACTGCCCAGCTGGTAGTTCAGTTCCTTTGTAAGCATCTGCTATGTTTTAATCAGCCACATCAGTTTCCCATATGACTTCTTCATAAAAGAATAATCATTCCAAACCATCTGTGCCTGAACTGCAGCTGATGAAAATATTGGATAATAAAAGAGGATTTGCTGCAGTTTTTGAGTCTTATTTTGAAAATAAATGTAAAAGTTTAGATTAAAACATTTTTACATACTCATAGTTTGACCTTTAATCCATTTTAATCTGTTTCATCAACAGTTTTCATTCGGTGAATTGGTGAGGAAGAGGAAAACATCAAATTTTTTAGTCTTTATCATTTTCCACTATTTGACATGATAAACATCAAATCTTTGAATTAGTTCTTTGTTCAGAAGTAGAGAAGAGTTCTCTGTGTCTCTTTAGAGTCTCTGTATTTTAGTGGAAATATGATTCTAAATTCTGGGACATCAGATATTTACTGATTGAATCACTAGTTCAGATATCATCTGGGTTTTTATTCCACCTTGCAGTTCATTATTCTTTTCTGGACTAAAATTACCTCATTAAACTCCCAACCCAGCAAAAACATTTAGCTCATAAAACTGATTAGAAATGAACTTCTACTACTTATTAGATCTGGAAGAGGACAAAGGCCTACAGAGGAACTGGAAATTATTTATTAGCAGTTAAAGTTCTTCACAGCTGATCTTATAGTTGGGATCAATATGAACCTGCTGAAGAGATTTATTGCACTTAGTTGCGTAGTATTTACATCACCATGTAACGTCACAAAGTATTTCATCTGCAATGAACTACAGGTTGGAACACTGAAGAGGTTTTATTGCCTTATATATCCTTATATGTGGCCCTATCCTTTCTTAGCAACAAAACAGTACATGCTGAAGGTCAAGTATGAGTCTTAGCAATGATACAGTCCTTAATGCCTAATTCGTACGCAATTAGATGATATATTAAGAGGTTTTGGCATAAACAGAGAACGTTTGTATAAACATTCCTCCCGGTGTGAAAGCAACCTTTGGCTCTGACCAGCACACATGAATTCCAGTAAGCTTTCGACATGATATTCCTGTGCATGTGCAGTTACGTAATGCGATGTTGAGACTATAAAACAACTGAGATGAAATGAGAGTTTCAGGGTCATAACTGAGATGTGACGGTGTAGTGCTGAATGTATGAAGTGTTTAGGACAGCTGTATGAATTTGGTTTTGTAATTAAATGTTTCCCCCTCCGGATGATAAAATGGTGTGAATCATGGCCTTCTTTCTGTCATAAGGGAATTCTCCCAATGAGCTTCCACAAACCAAATCTAAACTTTGTTTTAATTAAGATCAGAATCTTGAAATATATATTTTTTAATCCTAGTCTGAAATTGTATGTTTTTGAGTCAGTGTTAAAAACAAATTTCTTTAAAACTGCTTTTGACTGTTTAAGGTTAACTGTTAACTGAGGTATTAAGCTTGTTCTGTTTTATTTGCTTACCTACCTTTTTTATCTTTACTTGCTCTTATTGTCATGATTTTATCAAGAGCTCGTATCCACATGCAGAGAAACCAATTCAGAGAGACCAGGGAAAAGGTTTAATAGGTTTATTGAGAAGATAATGCAGAATCTAGTGTTGCTCTGAACACAGCTCAACTGGATCTGAAAAGTGAGGGGAAGACACTGCGGTTAGTTCAACCTCAGTGGGAAATTAGATTCTTGAACTTGAAGAGAAGAATTAGGTTGCTGACTCACGTTTCCAGAAAAGTGGTTGACTCTTTAACTCCAGTCTGTGTGCATTAGTTCCAGTCTTTGTCTCATTTGGTGGAGGGCAGACAGGGTTTACCCAGAATGTGGTTGTTTGTGGGTGAACGGAGAAACTGACTGCCACTTGGATTTCCTGCGGTACCTGAACAGGTTGGTGTGGAGATGAATTCCTTGCTCAGTGTGAAGCTCAAACAATCCCTTGGAGTATAGTAGATCCAAATCTCCAGTTTGAATCCCCAGCTCAGTTTGAACCTCAGATGATCCTTCCAGGGAGAGAGGGTCCGAAAACATTCAGTTTGCAGGATGACTTCCTGCCGAGAGGCAAAGACAAAATAACTCGGTTAGAACTCAGGTTGACAAAACTTAGTTTGACTCAGTAAAAACTCAGCTTGGCAAACACTCTGGCGTCGAGGTAGTGGCAGTCAGCAGCTTAAGAGCACTCTGTTAATGAGGTAACCCTCCGCAGGTGTCTGAGGACGCGGACCAGAACCAGGCACCTCCTGGTGGAGGAAGGGAGACAAACACAAAAACACAAACCATACAGACAGGAATCCTAACACTTATTCTTGTTTTATTTTCATTCTACTTGTCTAATTAATGTAAAGCATTTTGAATTGTCTTTGTACTGATTTGTGCTATACAAATAAACATGCCTTACCTTAAAATCTTTGGTTTCCTTCACCTTCTTTCTCTAACTTTCTCCTCCAGTGAATCATTTCTCTCCATCAGCGGATGTCCTCAGTGGGCTGTTTCATTCTTCCTCCACATTGAATGTATTCATGTCATTTGGATCGTGGCCTTTAGATGTTTTATAGTTTTCTCTGTCAGTTTCTGACACAGCTAATCTCAGTGAGGCTAGAGTACCCAATACTGGCAAACACTCTGGTGTCGACGTGGTGACAGTCCGCTCATCATATACTCTTCTGGTAAAGACCAAACGAGCTGCAGGTGTGGCTGGAAAACCAGAAGAGGACCTCCAAGCCAACAGGGGAAAAGGGAACCATCTAGTGGATGGGTGGAGACAAAAAAGGAAAATACAAAACATCTCCCACAAACAGAAACCCTAACAGTACCCCCCCTCAACGACCGCCAGCTGGCGATCAAGAGGAACCCGAGGGCTTAGAGGAAAGGAAGTCCGAGATGAGGGAAGGGTCCAAAATAAAAGAACAGGCATCCAAGTGGGTCCTCAGAACCGTAGCTTTCCCAATCTACCAGGTACTGCCAACCCTGCCCATGGCGGCGGGCATCCACGATCCGGTGGATATCTACGATCCGCCCACCTGTGATTCTTCTCTGCAGATTTGTTTGGGGTGGCGAGAGTCCTGACCCAGACAGCTTTACACCGGCTGATATGATGCTGGACAGACATGACAGCAATGTCCCTCTCCTCAGCAGAGAACAGTGGAGGTTGATAATCCAACAAGACCTCCAAACCAGTGGCAGATGAGACTTGAGAGTTGTCTGCACACTCTACCCAAGGCAAGTAAATGTTTTGTTGAGGGATCCCATGTAATCTAAATACATGTTTGACCAGGAGTTGGGCTGTCTGAAAAGCTGAGGGCAGCTTTCTCAATGGAATCAAATGGCAGGCTTTAGAAAAACGATCAATGATCGTCAGGATTATGGTAATACCTTTAGATACCGGAAGTCCAGTGACGAAGTCTAAGGCAATATGCGACCCAGGGCTGCCTAGGGGTGGGTAATGGTTGTAATAGTCCAGAGGGTGGCTGAAGCAATGGTTTGTTCCATGCACAGGTTGGACAGGCTAGAATAAACTCCTTAACATCGCTTTGGATGGTGGGCCACCAGAATCTCCGGTTGATTAAGGCCACAGTCCCACTGACGCATGGATGACCCGAGAACTTGGAAGAGTGCATCCAGTTGATAACTAGACCTGAAGAAGGAGGAAAGATCCCAGCAGCCAGGGAATCCTGAATGTATTTCTCCATGGTCTCTCTCTTGGGCTTGGAGATATTAAACAGGCAACTACTGAGTAGAGGTGCTCCAGGGAGCATATCAATGGCGCAATCATAGGGTCTGTGTGGAGGCAGAGAAGAGGCCTTAGACTTGCTAAATACCTGATAAAGGTCATTGTAATCAGCAGGAACCGAGGAAAGATCCGGTGGGTCAGCCTCAATTCCCTCAGCTGGTTGGAAACCTGGTGGAACTGCAGATTGGAGACAGCATGAGTGGCAGTTAACAGACCATGAATCTACGTGTCTGTTGGTCCAGTTGATTGCAGGATTGTGTAGCTGAAGCCACTCAAAGCCTAAGATTAACGTAATAAACGTAGAAGGAGATGTGCTCAGGATTATTACCAGATACAGTCAGTTTGATGGGAAGTATCTGATGAGTAATTTGGGGCAGATTTCTGCCGTCCAGGGCAAAAACTCGAAGAGGGGCCTGTAGGGGGATAGTCTCGATAACCATCTGTTGCACAACGGAAAAGTCCATTGAATTTAGTTCACAGCTGGAGTCGATAAGTGCTGACAGAGTGGGAGATTTATTGTTAATCTTGATTGAAGCAGGCAAAAGTAGACGAGTAGACGAGGGAGTGATTTTCTGGTCCGCCAGTAACCTCGTCTTTACTGGTGGACCCTGGCTTTTAGCAGAAGGGGACAAACTGAAACAAAATCTCCGTCTTCACCACAATAC